TAATTTTTTTTCTTTTCTTTTTATCGTTATTATTTGACAGACTTGACAATTTATATACATTTACATTGCAACTTCTTCGGCCCTTGATGTCTTTTTTCTCAGTTTTTAATATTTCTTGATTATAGATTAGGTTTAATTTTTCTATACCTTTTGCATAACACGTTGCAATTAGAAGAAATCCTGTTTCATTTATTTCTTTTGAATCCTTAAAAAGTTCATGAATTGTTGGATCAGATAGTTGAAATGTAGTGGTTAATTTATCAGCAAGTTTCCATACTACTTCTTTATATGACTGTACATTATGATCTTCATTAATTGTAATTATGTCTCCAATATATTTTGATAAAAGTGCTTGTATTCTATCTCTTTCAGATTGAGCAGATGATATGTGTAGTTTAAGTTGTTCATTGTCCATTATATTGGTTTTAATGTATTGTTTAATAAATTTTACTCCCAAAACTTCTAACGCTTCATCAAGTGCATAATAATGACCAGGACGTGTCAGGTTTATTGAACATACCTAACGAAGTAATTGTTGTAATTGAGGATCTTTATAAACTTGAGATAAAAAATGAGTTGATGATCGTCCATAATTACTTTTACCACAAACTAAAAAAAGAGGTGCAAATGCTGAAAGTGAATGAAATTGTAAATTATAATTGGCTCTTCTTATTCCTATTTTGTGATTAATTATATAACCCATCCAACGAAAATATAATAGCCAAACTTTTATAATATTATTGTTTTTTTCAATATCGCTTATATTTTTATTTGTATTTTTTAAATGCTTTGTTAACGCAATTCCTATAGCCATCCAAATAAGTTCTAATACATGAAATGTAGCATCATAATCAACGACTTTCTCTAATTTATCTAAATACTTGGCACCAAGTTCTGCCGCCAAACTAAAAATTCCATACCCCGAAAAAATTTTAATTAAAGTAGCACACATAGCTTTCGATGTATGCCACTGGCCTAAAATTAATCTTATTGGATTGTCTTTTTTTAATTCACGGTATAATAATAATCGGCGAAAAATTGCCTCATCAGCTGCGACATCCAGATGCTCACCTCCTGATAGTTGAAGGTCTTTAAAATATTGTTCACAAGAATTATGAACATTTAGATCACAATTCGGTTCTTCACCTGGTATAAAGATTACAAAATTCGGAGCACTAACTTGACAACCCAAAGGTACATCTTTTGTAAATTCATAATAAATATCATTAATATCTAAATTGTTTGAATGTAATTCCACAAGTTGATTAAAAATTTTTAGATGTTTGTAATATTGATTTTTTACAAAATCCGACTCTCCAAACAAAATATTGTTAACAATGTTAATATTATTGTCATTCGTAGTAATAGGAATAAGAGATTTAATTGGCATGGGTAAGGTAAACTGAAAAACTACCCTTAATGTAGCATGAGAAGTATTACGGGAATCATCAAAAATATTTCCAAATTTAAATGAACTTTCCTTAAAGTCAAT